TCTGCTTGAAATATTTGGAAGTATTATGGATGTAGCCTTGAAATGAAATTTGCTCCTCTGGAATACATGTTGGAATGCACTGGAAAGCTTTTTGTTACTATCACTTTTGCTTAAAATGAATACTAGAGAGTTCGCTTTACTTTTCATACATGTATGGGGCTCGGTTTAGCTCATGTGGCTTTCCCTTACTCGAAATGCATGCTATGAGAAAATTTATTTAATTTGGAAAGCTCTGTAACTTGTTTTAAGGGTTTGGTTTAGCTCCTCGTGAGGCATCTTCTCTGCTCAAATATATGTTAGAAATTGTTTCATGCTTGGAATAGTTAGGTTGGTAGCCCAAATATGTTCTCTATGTTGTTTTTCTTATTTAAGATGTATATTGGCTCCATATCTTGATGTTTTAAAGGCATGTAGGTTGTTCCTTGGCTTTGGATGACTCAGTTTTACCTTAAGGTGGCTGGAGTTATAATTTCTGTAGAGATTTGGCTTTTGGTTTTTGTTGAAGCTTTGTCCTAACTGCTCGAACTTTACTTCTGGGTCTTGAAGGATTCGGTTTGGCTTTGTTTGGGGGTTCGGTTTGCTGGCCTTAGCTCCTATCCGATAGCCTGTTTTTGGTGTTTGTTCCTGCCCCTACTCAAGAGTTGTGGGAGGGTGCGGTTTTATTTGCTTTAAACCCTGCTAAGGGCTCGATTTTGGCATTTTATGATCATTTTTGGCTTAAAAGCACGTACTGTGAAGAAATTTATTTTGATTTGGAAGAGTTCCATAACTATTCTTGTTTGAAACATGTGGTAGCCCTATATTTTGATATTTTGAGGGCATGAAGATGTTTCTAACCTTTATTGTGGCCTGGGTTTGAGCCTTGGTTGCGGCTCGGTTTTACTCTTATTGGGAGCTCGGTTTTGTCTCGTTCTGCCCCTACCCGAGAGGTAGTTTGGGTGTGGTTTTACTGGCTTTAGTTCCTACCCGAGAGTCTATGTTTGTGCTTTATATTTGTCCCTACTAGAAAGGCTTGGTGGTCGAGGGAGCGCGGTAAAATAGCTAATGGTATCTCCTTTGGTTGCCTGGGCTTTGAGCCTTAGTTGTTGGTTCCTTTTGTCGCTTTGGCCGAGAGCCTTAGCGGCTGTTAGTAGTGGTCCTTCCTGTTGGTTGCCTCGGCCGTGAGCTTTGACATCTTCTTCCTTTCCTTTTTGGTGGCCTTGGCCGTGAGCTTTAGCAGCTGCTCCTCGCTGCCCTGAACTGTGAGCCTTAGCAACTCCCATTCTTTCCTTGATCACCTAAACCGTGAGCCTTAGTAGTTGTCTCCCTTGTGGGTTGATTTGGCCGAGAGCCTGAGCTGCTGTTCATCTCTTTTATTGAGCCTGGCCGTGAGCATTTATGTGGTTTTAGCCGGATGATTTCATGCTTATTTGATATAAGGAGCTTTTAATTAAGTATGGAATTAAATGGCTTTAATGTTGGCATGATTTTGGAAGTATAAGTAGTTGTCGTACCTGGGTTACTTTCCTTTTGTTCGAGTTGTGAAGTTTGAAAGACTTTGAAATTTTATTTCGGGAGAGCATATGGTTGATATAAATTGAATTTATAAAGGATGTTTCAGGAGTTTGACATTGTAGTTGTGATATCATTTGAGCGCAGGCTTGGGTTTGTGTCGATGGGTAGCCAGTGGTGGAGCCACGTATACAGTTGTCACATTGACTTGGGCCCGTTTCGATTCGCCCGAGACAAGATTGGGAAGAGATACCCTCCAAATGAGAAAGTGATATCCTTTCGGATTGATTCAAGGATCTTGAGGCCTCCTTTTTCAGGTCTTTTCTTCATGAGTTTTGAGGGCTGATTCATCCTCATTCTCTTTGATGTTTTAGGTGGATCAGTGTCTCCTCTCTCTCACCTCATTTTTGTTCTTTTTTTCCTTGTTTCTTGGTTCGGTTTTCGATGCTTATGTCAGTTGCATAAGCATCCACGTATAGTCTTTATACGTATAACCTTTTGCTATGCGTGAAACCATCAAGCAATGTCGCAAGTAGTTCGATTTTGTTTTGAGGCTTAGGGCGGTGATGACAAAGATACACTGGTGATAGAGCAGAATGATGTTCCATCCTACAACTTCGGGACGCCCCCCCACGGACCCGGTGAACCGTAGGATCTCATATCATTCACCGACATAAGACAAGTCTAGTGGGAGTTGACCCGTATCTTCTTAGGTTGTCAGTGGTCCTACGCCCAACAACGTGATTGACTCGTGGACAACTACACTTTTCAAAATTGAAAAAAAACAAATTTGACAAGAACAGATACATATTTTTCTAAACAAAAATATATTTTTCGCTACAAATAAAATTGATACAACCTTCTTTTGTATGCCTGAAATCTATGTGCATGCTAAAAATATAAATTTTAAATATATTTTAAGCATTGGTTGTCCACCTGTGATTACCTGTTTGGGCTAAGGAGTACCCTCCTAAGTTAGGTTCGATAGGACACCATTCTAGTTCAGTGACGGGTTTTATATATCCGGGTGACCGAGTAACATTCCACGACCCTCGAGTACAAACATATATCTGAGCCTAGCCCCGACCCGAGTGCTTGCGGTCCCCTCTTTTCGGACTTTTTCATATGTTTTATTGAAATTTTTGGACAAAACACTCGTGGTCTTTTCTCCGAGATTTTCTTGAGGTTTTTGATGATTTTATTTGAATTGTTACCTGTTGATTTTCTCAAGCTTTTCGTCATGGATTATTTGTTGATTTTTCACGGGTTTTTCATCGTGGGTCATTTAACGTCCTTTCTCGATTTTATTTGAATTGTTACCTGTTGATTTTCTCAAGTTTTTTGTCATGGATTATTTGTTGATTTTTCACGAGTTTTTCATCTTGGGTCATTTAACGTCCTTTCTCGGGTTTTCTAGGTGACGTTTCTTTTCTTCCTTGCTCTCGTTTATATAATGCATTTCAACTTGTTTCCTCAATTTTTGTTATTTGTACTTGTTGCATCAGCTACACCTAAGGAACAACGGATCCCCCAGGCATGCAGGTTTGCTTTATGTTTACAGCATGTTACTTTCTTGTAATCACTTTTCTGCTGTACCGTCTACTTTTTATTTACACCGCATGTTGTACTATTCTCTTTACTGCATACTCTACTGCTTGTCTTGTGCTACATACTCTACTGTCATTTTATACACTGTACAACTTCAACCTGTTCCCCTAGAAAGTTTAAAGAACTACAATCATAGGACCATTTGATTTGACATCATAACCTGACACCCAAGAAAACAAGCTTGGAGCTAGCGCGGTGGGCAGCACGACCATCTTCAACATCTTCAACAGTAGAACTAGCGCGGTGGGCAGCACGACCATCTTCAACAGTAGAACATGTCTTCCCCATCCTTAGAATTAAACAACAATTATTAAACAACAATTCATAAAATTTCGAGGTTGTTTGCCTAGTGCAACATAAATTCTCAACTTTTTGTTAGACATTTGTACAGTTCTACTGTGCAATCTAAGCCCTAACTCGTTTTAAGATTCCTAGGTTGTCGTTCGTCACGACCTAAATCCTCATATCTTCCAGACTGTTTGTGTGATCGTTTCATACGAATGTAAGCCCTAATTAAATAAAATTGACAGGATGAAACACTTGAATAATTTCTCCTCGAAATTGAAGTCAAATCATAGGGTAGACTGGGAAGTCACCGAGGTTCTCATTCGGATCTGTGACATCCCCTAGTTCTTCCTCCTTTAGATTCTACAATAAATGTTTCAAGTTTGAACTATTCCCCTTTGCACACCTCTTTGTCCGATTTCGTTGAAAAATCCTATCCTTTTGATCTCCTTGAAGATAATTTTTCTTGATTTTTATCGAGAGTATTCTTAGGTGACTACGGTTGTCTAAGATGTAATTAACTATAGGGCCTTGTCCTTATAGGAAACTTTCCTAAACCCAGCTTAAAATAAACCCTATTTTTCATATTAAATAGGGGAATTTGTCAGCAAATAAAACGGTTTCGCAGACCAAACGGATATCATATCTTTCTTAGTTTATTTGATCGGGCTCACCCTCAAGTCTTGTGTTTATCCTTCGGGATAGATACAAGATTTGAGGTAAAACGCTCTTTCATTTAAATTATGAAAAATATGAGGTCAGTTTGATTTTCATTTTTTTTTAAACTTAAATCTATATGTAAATTAAACGTTCTTCCGAAGAGGGCGATGAGATTTCGATTTCGGTAACTGATAGCTTCCTACGGGCAACTCTCCCAACGTTTTTTTTTAGTGCCGACAACTTGCTATTCGAATGTGACGATCCTAGGTCCTTGCAACTAATGAATGAGCAGTCTATTTGGAATACCAATTTCATAACTTTGGTTTCCAGAAAACAGCCATTATTCAGTTTGAATACAGTTTTTTTTTTTGCTGGTTTTTGAAAATAGCAAATCTATAGTTTTCAAAAAAAAAAAAAAAAAAATCTTCAATACTCATAACAATTTCAAAAAATGTTTTCCCTACTACAATTCTATTTCTGATTTTACAGAGCCATAACCGCCCCAACAGCACAAAGCCTGATCCTCTTTCTTCTCCTCAAACTGCTGTTAAATTTTAGTAGGCAAAGAAATTTTACTACACAATTGGAGATTTCTGCGGAATACTTGACACAATTGGATACAGAAAACACTAATCCATAAATTGATAATTGCTAATAGTGTGGATATATTTTCTCGGACATGTTCTTGCAAAGGAAAGGTAATCATGCCATTTGAAATCAAATCTTCAGTATGAAAAGAAAAATAAAAAAAATATGTAACAAATTATTGAAGGGACAAATGTAAACAGACTATCTGAAATAAAGGCAAAACAAATGGAGGGCCGATGGCTGGGCATAGAAAAATGGTGTACCTTAAAAACCACACTATAGCTGCATTGATTCAGTATTTATTTTTTCTTATTGCCAGATATGAAACAATGAAGGATGCATCAGCTATGAGATGGACGGAAACTCACTCATTTATTTGTAAAGGAAGGCCATCCACTAATTCTATCTTCCAGAATCTTGTGTCAATTTCTTTGTCACTCTTATCCCTTGCTTCCTCCATAAAATATTTTGCCTGTATTTGACATGGATGTAAGAAATACACTCAAGTGAAAAATTCAATAATATCCATCAATTTTACTATAAATCTACAAATTCAATAACTAAATGCATTGAAAATATAACAGTTAGCTGCTAATTGGTACTTTCTAACAAGCACTCCATAATCAATGAAAAGTAACATCCAATACCTCTTTAAAGAAATAATGCAACAGTCAAGCTACAAAGGGATTATAACACAATTTGAGTATAATTACAATCTCCCAGCAACCGATATCTTTAGTTGGGCATTCATATGTCAGAAAATAAAAATGTTATGCATAACATTAAATTGAACAATATAAAGTCAAGGTTTTCAGATAAATGTTGATAAATAAAGGTTTCTGAATGGACATAGATATATAAGAATTTATATACGTAGAATTGTCCGTGTGTTGAATATACAAATAAAGTCCCGCAAGGAGAAAAGAAAGAGGAAGAGAAATATTTGTCCTCTAATCTGAATAGCAGCCAAGGAAAATAAATGTAAGTTCCCAATTAAATGCAATAAGTGCAAGGACAATCCACGCGACGATTCAAAAAAAATAAGAAACATAATCATATTAGTACCTCTCTTAATAAGAGACATTAATTTGTTTTCTCTCTCCATAATAATATGTTCTGCATAGGTAGTTATCATATTAGTACCTCTCTTAATTCAATGCCAATTCGAAGTTCCAAGGCAAGCAGGACTCATGTATTAACAAGAGATTGATTTCCTACTATATTGCATGAATACGTACACAGACAAGACACGATACGGATACAGGCACGTCTATTATTAAAAATATAGAACATGGACATGCATCAGACACCGTTATAACACTATCTATATATATATATATATATATATATATATATTAACCGAATGAATTTTATAAAATTCTACGCGTCGAATCGATATCAAACCTTCCCTCTCCGAATTCTCCCTCATGCGAGAAGCTATGCTCGGACACTGTAGCAAGCATAGCTACACAAATTGTAGGGAGCCACAAGTGGCAATTCAAGGCTCCAGGGAGAATACTGAGTAGGAAATCCTATTTCGCAATATTTGTGGCATTTCTTTCCTATCATACATTTCCATTTTTTGGTTTGTCACGAATTGAAGCCTTCCTCGTGATTTGCTGCTACTGTAGCTAGGGGTGAGCAATCATAAGGCTATTGAATCGAGAGCTAAGCTCTTCGGTAAGTCCATGTCATGAGTTGGAGAAAAGTTTAAGGGATAGGAGGAAAGGGGAAGAAAAATAGGAAGAATCGGAGAAAGGTTGACTATGCAGATATATCCTTTTGAGGTAAAAATTTGAAAATGAGATGCTTTGGGTTAAATCATAAGATAAACCAAGATTTCATAAAATCCTAAGAGTTTTGCAAATTTCAAGTTGTTTACACTAGGCAGCGAGCTCGAAGTGAGTCTAGGGAAACTCTTCGTAGGGTTGCTCTATCAATTCAGATGAAATAATATAGTGCTAACTTTAGCAAAATAACTATATAGATTTCCATGTTATTATGTGTTTGACACTATTGCTATAGTATTTTTTGTATATTATGGATGAAAACATGCATAAATTTTATAAAAACTTGAATTGTCGCTCACGATAACTATGATTTTAGTATGTCATGAACCTGATTAACATGCTTAAAAAATCATTGTTTGCAGGTATTCATTTACTTTGATTCATGCACATCATATTGAACTGCTTATGATGAATACTTGTTACAAGATTATAATTTAAGAAATGTCACAAATGATGTTATAAGTAGGCTACTACAAGAATCCTTGCAAGTATAGATGATATGGAACGATGATATGTCTGACTTTTAGTATTTAGATAGAGACGAAAATCTGAGAACTATTGGGATAAGATGGGATGGAACGTTGGGAACCGTTGGTATCAAAAGACTATTGATAAATACTATATTAAGAGGACTCAACCTTATCATAAACTAATGTAACATTCAGATTGAGCGACGATCTAATAATATGACATGACAAGGAAATAGTCAAAGCCTATAAAATTATAAGTAATATTTCTATGATTGATGACTCTTAAAAATATGCTTATAATTAGACATGAATGGATGAAATATATATTTTATAAAGCAGCCATAATTCATTTTATTACACGTCTTTTCTTTTACATGTTTTATATGATTATAGTATGTTGTAATATGTTGTGGACATGTACATGAGTTACATATGAACATGCACATTATTTTTTTTTGTCTATAAAATCATATTTTATCCTTGATTATTTCGCTTAACTTGTTATAGCTCACTCAATGTTGTTAACTTTCAGGAAATTGTAAGAAACATCGGGAATCAAATGTGACTTGTAAAACCTTTGTATTATAGATTTGAGAAATTGCACAGACTTTTGGGTAAATAATTATAGTATTTTAGATTTAGCAGGTCTGTACCCCCACACAGATATATATATACATATATATATATATATATATATATATTATATTATATTAGTGATGTGATTTTGCACGCTTCCGAGAATATGTGAATGACTTAGATGGAATGCATCATGTCTGTTTACAACGATTTAGTTATACTTTCATCACGCGCTAGCTCTTATTCTACATGTCAGGATGAATATGAGTGAGAATTTACTTTGACTGAATCGCCCACCTCGTCTCGTCACAGTTGATCCTTAAAGAGAGGTCATTTGAGGTATGCTATAAAATATTAAGAATAATAAAAAAGAGAAAAGAAAAAAAATAAAAACACTAAACTGTTAAAAACTAAGAGCTAATTTGACATCACTTTTATTTATTGTTTTAGTTGATATAATTTTTATACATTTCATTTTTTATTTTAAAAATAAATTAAGTTGTATTTAAAAATAAACAAAAATGTATAAAAATAAGCGTATATTATTTTATATTACATCAAAATTTAAGTGATCTTAATCACTTATTCATTAAAAGAATTAAATGGATCGATGGCTTCTTTCACACCAAATTATTATGTATTTACATATCTAACACCTAAATTTTTATTTTAATATGTATGCCACCCAAATTGTTCATATCACATCTAATATCCTAACACGTTCAATTCTAAAAAGTGAAATGCATATTTCATATATATGCAAGGAGACATGTAAAAATTGAAATTTAGGGCTTAGATATATAAATATATAAAAATTGATTGAAATGAATGTAAATCTTTTTTAAATTTTACATAAAAATATATATTTTTTAATTTTAACTTTAAAAAAAATTTCAAAAAATTTTAATTTATTAATTTAGGACATTCATGTCTGTTGACCTCGCTTTCGGTCGAGGTGTAGTTTTCCCCTCCTTAGTAGCCTAGGATCTAGCCGTAGGACCTTTCTATCGACTACTCCTAGAAAATTAGTGAAGGAGCCCTCCCCGTTAGCAATTCTGGACTTTTCTTCGCTCGACTTGACGTTCCATGTAGTAGGCTTGACCACTATTGCTTAGCAGGTAAGGCTACTCCGAAGGAACTCAGGGAGCATTCCTATAGGACTGACGGCCTTATGATTGATTCCACTCGTTGATTTGGCGCTGCTGCGCTCACCGCCGTCCTGTTTAATCGAATTTGAGCCGAAATTTTTGTAGGATTCGGACCGCGATGCGTTTTTAGCCTGATCGTCCACAAAGTTGGTCGAACGACTCCGGATGACGAAACAAACTGCGTCGAGGCGTCCGGAACGTCGATTTTGCTTAAGGAGGACGTTCGCTTCATTGCGACAGCGCGTCTTGGAAATAATACCTATTTAAGTGTTTATTATAATAATAAATAATATTTTATAATAATGCCTTAGCCCTAGGACGGCTCGCTCGGTCGCCCGGCATGCTCCTTCGTGCCGTTGGGGAGGTTTTGTTCCCGCGTTCGCCTCTCGCACACGGGACAGATCACGCAGGCGCCCATCCCTCATATCCTATCTTCTGCGATATGGGTTCGATCTCCTCTGTCGCAAATCGTATCCTCTGCGAGGATCTAATCATCCGCATCTCTCGATCCCTCTGTCGTATCTTCTTAATCATTCGTCTCCTTTGCCCTTAGTGTATAAGAGAGCTCCTCTGTGAAGCTTCCAAAAGGGGCCGAAAATCTTTCTAAGGGTTCTAAGGGAGAAAACTCTGCTCTTTTTCTTTCTCACTCACTTCTTTGATCTTCTGGTGCTTGAATCGGTTTTCTCCTGTTGTTGGGAGAGGAAGTGAAGTTCCGGAGTGCATTTAGAGTTTCTATGTTACTTTCATTTTGCTTCAAATATGTATCTTCTTCCCTCTCCCCCTATGCATTGTCTGTGTTCGACCCTGCTCTTTACCGAGCCCCTGTGCTTTATGTGTGCTCGTCCCTGTTCTCTGTCGAGCCCTGTTAGCATGCTAGAGTAGGGAGATTACTATTTGTCTCATTCCTAAACATGTTCTAACTTACTCTTTATATATTTGTTATGTGGGAATGACATTTAAAAGCTTGCTTTGTCGAGCCTCTGATGATGATTTCAGGGTATGGTTTAGTACTCTAGTTGCCACTATGCTTGTATTTGGAAATGTTGATCACTCAAAGCATGTGAAAGAAAAAAAAAAAGACATATATGTAAGAGTTTGAATTG